TGATTAATTGAGATTAAACTTGTTTGAATTTAGTTCAAACAAGTTTAATCTCAATTAACCACTACCAAGAGCACCAACTCAAACAAGTTTAATCTCAATTAACCACTACCAAGAGCACCAATTCAAACAAGTTTAATCTCAATTAATCACTACCATGAGCACCAACTCAAACAAGTTTAATCTCAATTAATCACTACCAAGAACACCAATTAAACACGTTTAATCTCAATTAATCACTACCAAGAGCACCGGTGCTCTTGGTGATGTTTGTCTACCGGTCACCAGTAGGCGGCCCGTGAGTTTGGTTGACCTCCGGATCCCAATTTTCTTGTAAGCACCGATTAAAGATGGAGAAACTATATTACTTTTGCTGTGACATTTTTGTTGGTTACTGTCACAAGTTGTTCACCCATTTCTCTAACAACTCCCATACACAGACACCCCCCTCCTTTTCCCGTTCTGTGGCTTACTGGGCATTATAATTAAACGGCTTTTTAAAAACCAAATAATTGGGGACCGGTGCCATGATATAATGCATTTATTTCGTAACATCCTCAAAGGCTACAAGACTTAGTTACAATATAAATACAAAATACGCAGGCGTGAAAATAACTTGGCATCCCAAGCTTCACGGCACTTCGTTCTAAAAACAATCTAAATATGCGCAAATTTACCCGTCAAGGTCTTTAAACTGTATTTGATAACATATCACATATGCTTTCACCGCGCGTGTTCGGTACCTATGGGAGAATAAGTCTGATTGGCTGGGATTTTTGTATTTTCAAGTGGACGAAATCGTTATAAAAACACAGAACAATGTACCGGTGAATGCGTCTTTTATCAGGATTGGGCTCAGTCAGCGCACCGTATCGAACGGACTGCTTTTGTGGTCTACTGCGCATGCGCACGAGAAAGTAGTTCCATCGACCATTTACCTGAAAGAGCCATCCGCTCCGCGTACTGAAGATCACACGGGTCAACGAAATTAACAAGTGATTTCACACTTCATATGTGATAAAAGCTATGAGCTAAGTCAAACTTAATAACTACTTCTGGCCCGAAAGGGAGTATATTTTCATTTATTACATCATAATTAATTGTTATCTTTAGATATTTGACATCCTAAAACATCAGTATTGACGTAATGGTTTCTTTTTTGCCTTTTTATGAAATGAATGTGTTGTGTTCGGGGTGCGCTTTATAATACAATAGTTTTAATTAAATATTTGCCTAAAAATGATAAAACCTTAGCACTTTGAACAGGTGGATGGATCTATTTAGTTGAAAGAATCCAAATATTGTACACCAACCAACAACATCACACGCAAAAATACATGTTTGTATAGATTTAGAGTCAAGTAATGACTTTATTTTAAGGATGCTACACTTCGCTTTAGTTGGTACTTCAAGGATGTTACACTTCGCTTTAGTCGGTATTTCAAGAGTGTTACACCTTGCTTTAGTCAGTATTTCAAGAGTGTTACACCTTGCTTTATTCGGTATTTCAAGTGTTACACTTCGCTTTAGTCGGTATTTCAAGAGTGTTACACTTCGCTTTAGTCGGTATTTCAAGAGTGTTACACTTCGCTTTAGTCGGTACTTCAAGGATGTTACACTTCGCTTTAGTCGGTATTTCAAGTGTTACACCTTGCTTTAGTCGGTATTTCAAGTGTTACACCTTGCTTTAGTCGGTACTTCAAGGATGTTACACTTCGCTTTATTCGGTATTTCAAGTGTTACACTTCGCTTTAGTCGGTATTTCAAGTGTTACACCTTGCTTTAGTCGGTAGTTGGTAAAATGAAAAAAACAGAAAGAAATAACCCATATCTATTCTAATTCAATTCTGTTTGTGATTGCTCTTTACACCAATAGAATTTCACTTGAAAGGGCGAGCATCTTCAGTAGTAAGATTCGAGTTTGTGACCCGCAGATTGCGAGTCGAGAGCCTTAACTACCAGGCCCACTAATTAAATGAAAATCACTCATTTTGTTACGTACAAAAATACTTTGGTGTATAATTATTATTATTAGAGGTACTACTGACAAATTTGAGAAACTGCACTATTACAGTCTTTTATTTCTTTATAATTTATTAAGATCAAGATACTGATTAAAGCAAAATGTAACACCCTTGAAATAAAGCAAGGTTTAACACTTGAAATATCGACTAAAGCAAGGTTTAACACCCTTGAAATACCGACTAAAGCTAAATGTAAGACCCTTGAAATAAAGCAAGGTGTAACACTTGAAATACCGATTAAAGCAAGGTGTAACACTTGAAATACCGATTAAAGCTAAATGTAAGACCCTTGAAATAAAGCAAGGTGTAACACTCTTGAAATACCGACTAAAGCAAGGTGTAACACTTGAAATACCGACTAAAGCAAGGTGTAACACTTGAAATACCGACTAAAGCAAGGTGTAACACTTGAAATACCGACTAAAGCAGGTGTAACACTTGAAATACCGACTAAAGCAGGTTTAACACTTGAAATACCGACTAAAGCAGGTGTAACACTTGAAATACCGACTAAAGCAGGTGTAACACTTGAAATTGATCATAGAGGGTAATATGGTTCTTGTAAGATTACCTGGTCATTCAGTGGTGGAACTCTTAACCTCTTCATTGCTTTCTGTCTGTCACCAGCTTCCAGCTCTGTTGTGAAAAGTGTCTGTAGAAGAATATGTGTATGACGTATTATGTCACGTAGTATTGTGGAAGATAATGCTGAACAAAGTTCTTCATCACACCCAAAACCAATGAAAATATCAGAAGACCTTGAGATAAATATTTGACTACATTCTAGCTAAGCAACATAATAAGGTTTCAATGTATTCTAGAACAAAATAAACGAAAACAGAGACACAAATTTCAAATATGCTGGCCATTTTGTAATATTTGTGGTTAAATTTTGACCTGAATAATCAAAATAGCTTACATTTCTTTACAAGAAGATCTTAACTTAAATACCGTATATATTAAAAAAAACATTATTTGTAGTGAATGAAATAACAAAATATTAATACATGCAGAGAGTCTAGCAAGATTTCATACAATTCATGTTGATTATTCATTCAAAAAAATTGAAATGGTCCTATACTTTTTTACTTTTTATCTACGAGTAATTCTCTACAGGCAAAAGTATTTTATCTTTATATAGATTTAATTTTGGCAGCAAGATTAATAAAGTAGAGTTAGCAGTGTAAGACTAGCGGGAAGGCAGCTAGTCATCACCACCCACCGCCAACTTTTGGGCTACTCTTTTAACAAACGAATAGTGGGATTGATCATCACATTATAACAGCCTCATGGCTGAAAGGGCGAGCATGTTTGGTGTGACGGGGATTCGAACCCGCGACCCTCAGATTGCGAGTCGAGCGCCCTAACCACCTGGCCATGCCGAGCCTAGCTATAAATGAAGATTATCTGGTAATTTAGTGGTCTTATCTTTTTACATCTGGACATATAATCAGAACTTAATTAAAAAATAAGAATCATATCTTCTAACTTAAAGATTAATAAAACAATTCAGAAATGGCTTTTTTTTTAATCATTCATCATGGATTATATAAAACTGATATTCACTAGTGAATAACTAAACATTTGGTTAAAGGTAAGTTAGATCTGTTGAGTTAATTAGAGCGATTTATCAAAGATGATGATGATAGTTATATATTATTAGTGATAAAACTTCAGTCAATATTCATCTGTTTGGCTAGTTGATTATTCTTATGTTTATTGTGTTAATAAGATGAAAATAATGTTTATTGAAATATATATTTTTTCATGTTTTATATAACCATTTGGTTCTATAGCAATCTCCTTCAACAACCTTCAAAGTGGGCTTGTTTTCTGGTGCCTTTTTAGTATTGATCATTACTGTTATTCTATCAGGTAAATGTACAGCTTTTGTTTTATGTATTGATAATAATATTGTTACGATGACAAGTAAATATCTTTTCACTGAACTTAAAACCTATTACGATAGGCTGAATGAGTTTTTGACTGATAGCGTTATGGTTTTTCTAAAATTAACGTGTTAGGTTTAAGTAGTCTAATGATGACTATAATGTGGATGTTTACAGTTCAAAGTCATCTCAAATTAGTATTTGGAACAGAATATTTTGTGATCAAGAGATGAAAATTCAACAAACTGTTCAAATATGATCATCTGTTTTTGTTAGTAACGAAAATTCACACAAGATTTTAACAATAATATTCTTTCATATGCCTATTTTGGGAAAAAGACTTTAGAGTGACACATTTTTTTTGTATTCCCTTATTATGTCTCAGGTTACAGTTGTAATCGTAAGGAATTAGACAATCCTGTAAATATTAAGTATGTTGACAATATTTAAACTCAACTTTAAACCTGTAAACTTAGTGTTATTTAGGTTCTTTTTAAAAGAATATATATAAACCTATAGAGTTCCTATGTGGCCAGTAGAAAAGACTTAGTCAGCTTAAAGTGTAAATGTGCAACAGTTGGTGATAAAAGAAATGATGGGTTTACACACCTTCTTCCCTCTCTCTAAAGTTATTGTGAGATCAGATATTTCACAAAGTTGGAAATGTACCCTGACCAGGGCTTGAACCCAGAACTCTTGGCTCACACCTGTGCTCTGAGACAAATGTTGGTTTATGTTCTGTGTTTCATCTCTAAAGATATGTGAGATTTATCAGATATTTCTCAAAGTTGGAAATGTACCCTGACCAGGGCTTGAACTCAGAACTCTTGGCTCACACCAGTGCTCTGAGACAAATGTTGGTTTATATTCTCTGTTTCATCTCTAAAGTTATTGTGAGATCAGATATTTCACAAAGTCAGAAATGCACCCTGACCAGGGCTTGAACTCAGAACTCTTGGCTCACACCAGTGATCTGAGACAAATGTTGGTTTATGTTCTGTGTTTCATCTCTAAAGATATGTGAGATTTATCAGATATTTCATAAAGCTGGAAAAAAAACAACACATCCAGGTATTAAGAAATCTACCCCGACCAGGGCTTGAACCCAGGACCCTCAGCTCACACCAGTGCTCTGAGACTAGTGTTGGTTTATATTCTGTGTTTCTTCTCTAAAGATAAGTGAGATCTATCAGATATTTCACAAAATTGGAAAAAAAACAACACATTAGGACATAAAGAAATCTGTGCTGTCTGTAGTTTTGACCTCTTGGTTCACACTAGTACTCTGTGACATACCAACTGAACTATCAGGAGAATCTAATTCAAGCTTTTTAAGAAGCTCTATTATCTTATTTTGTGTAGCATATGTTTGACATTTTTTGTCTAAAATAAACTTATTATAACAACACTTATTTTAAGTAGTTCTAATGTTATTTTGTACAATTAGAAAAATTTAAGTTAGGTGAAATATCTTATTCAGCTAAGTATAATATACATAATCCTATGTCTTAATAAAAAAAACTATAGTTTTTACTGAACTTGTATTTTGTTGGTCAGTTGCCAAAGTGGATTAAACTAAAAGGTATAATAATATGATAAAGATATTGTTGTTTGTAGGTGTGTTCAGCAAAGCCAAGAACGAGTGGCGTATTGTGTTTCGACTCTACAGGGGCACCTTACTCATCATATTGTTGTTTGTAGGTGTGTTCAGTAAAGCCAGGAATGAGTGGCGTATTGTGTTTCGACTCTACAGGGGCACCTTACTCTACTCATCATATTGTTGTTTGTAGGTGTGTTCAGTAAAGCCAGGAATGAGTGGCGTATTGTGTTTCGACTCTACAGGGGCACCTTACTCATCATATTGTTGTTTGTAGGTGTGTTCAGTAAAGCCAGGAATGAGTGGCGTATTGTGTTTCGACTCTACAGGGGCACCTTACTCATCATATTGTTCATGTTCTTGATTGGTATTAATGTGTACGGGTGGCGCACATCGGGAGTAAATCATGTTCTCATTTTTGAACTGGACCCTAGAAACCACTTATCAGAACAACATTTGATGGAGGTATGGATTGTTCAAATAAAGGGAAGATTCTTAAGGGATGTATGGATTGTTCAAATAAAGGGAATGTTCCTAAGGGATGTATGGATTGTTCAAATAAAGGGAAGTTTCTTAAGGGATGTATGTATTGTTCAAATAAAGGGAAGATTCTTAAGGGATGTATGTATTGTTCAAATAAAGGGAAATTTCTTAAGGGATGTATGGATTGTTCAAATAAAGGGAAGATTCTTAAGGGATGTATGGATTGTTCAAATAAAGGGAAGTTTCTTAAGGGATGTATGTATTGTTGAAATAAAGGGAAGATTCTTAAGGGATGTATGTATTGTTGAAATAAAGGGAAGATTCTTAAGGGATGTATGT